CTTGTTTTTCTTTATTTCCGCCGTTCTGAGCCGAGGGTTTATCGGAAATAGCCTCTCCGTCCTACCGGGGCAGGGGTAAGGTCTGCGTACACATTACCCTCCCCAGACCCCACTATGTGGGATTTTACTGGGTAGTTGTTGTTGTTTGTAAAATATGTTTGGTTGCTGAAAAAATAAAGGGGATTTCTATAACATTTAAGACGACACGGTAGGTATCTGTTTATAGAAAGAAACATAGAGAAGTCTGCTAAAATAACCTAAACAATTAAAAGAAAATAAGACAAGAGCGCAAATTCATATCAAGCTAAAACCTCAAACCAAGCAAAATTTATGATGTACCTGAGTGCAACTGCATTAAAATCTGCCCAAGAGAGCTGGAGAGTGCCATAAATGACCCGCATTTAGCTGATTCCTTGAATTCCGCAACTTGAAGAAAAACAGATGACGGAGCATCCAGCATAGCCCTGATGGCAGAAGCAGCTGCAACCCGTGCCTAGAGCAGACCCAGTACCCAATATTAGTAGCAGAAACACAGTGCTAAAACTCAGGTGATGCTTTACAGGACAGGTTATGAGAAAACTAAATTAACCAGTTGCTGTCAAATAAATATCTTCTTTCCCTTTTTTAAGAATAATTATACTTCTTCTTTAGTTGCAAACAGTACTCCATTTGGATGNTTTAGATATGGATCAAACAGCAAACAACTCATCAGCGTTGCCTCATACCTTCTGCAAATAGCAACAGAAAAGTGGGGAAAAGGCAAGGGCAGTACACCAAACAAAGTTGGAAAGTAAAATCAGAGACATGAGTAAACATCATTGTATGAATTACTTGACAGGATATACCAACTAACTGAGCAGATGAAAAAGCAAAAATCTTAACCTTGGCTGTAGGACATCACTGGATGGTAAAAGCATTGTCCACTGAGCCGTAAATGATTTGGGATCAGCTAGACAAAGGTCCTTCAAGGAAAATTCATTTATTCAAATAAATTAGCATTATGCATAACCAAAAGAACAAAGAATCATGTTTTTTCTATGAGATGTCCATGTCAACCATGGATAATCAATTGCCAAATTGCTCATTTGTGATGTCCCACACACAAGGCTCTATGAAAAGCACATCAATTAAATAGCTACTACCAGACTTAAAACAATAAGCAAATTCATCTTGGAGATATCACCAACATACATGTATAAAAACTATTGCACAATTATGTTAATTACAACAAAAGATATTGCAAACAAAGTTGCTTGTTTCACATGGCTTTTGGCAAAAGAAGCAGTCTTGACACAGGATAACCTATTAAGAGGGGATCCCAATTTTTTTTAATAACCGTGGAGTCCGGGCCATCTTGTGCGCGCCTCGACTAATAAGGGATTCCAATTATGATCTAGATCTTACTTATGTGGTGAAGAGGCAGAGACAATCAATCATCTCTTTTTGCATGTAAAATGACAGATCATTTATGGAACATATTCATCAACCTGAGGGGAATTAGGTGGGCCAGGCCAAGGAGAATTCTTGAAGTCCTAGCATGCTGGAATAGAGATGGTAGCCTATACAGTCAGAAAGAGAGATGGAGGATTGTCCAGCTTGCATTTGGCGGACAATTTGGAAAGAGAAAAATCAAAGATGTTTTGAAGACAAATGCAGTTCTATCCAGAAGCTGAAGACGAATTGTCTCATTCTTTTATATTTTTGGTGTAAGCAAGAGTAAGTAGAATATCTTGAGTCTATTTTTGAAGTCTTAAAATCCTTGTGAGAAGACAAAGGACTAGGAATTCTTCTTGTACTCCACTCTGTAAATATGGGTAACTGCACAGCTTTGTGTAGTCCTACACACACACAAAAAAAAATGTTCTTTTGAGAAGGTATATATACACAAATATGTTACCTTCTCGAACAAAAACATATTGCTAACTTACACAAATAAGTACATGAAAGAAAGAATGTTACAAATAGATGATATTGTGGCCAATGAAGCAGTTGAGCCATTGCATTGGCTAACTTGTTAAACAAAAGTACATATACAAATCAAAACTGTCAAAAATAGACTGATTAGCAGGTCAACTGCAATCAGGCAGTCGCGCATATTGGCACTTGCTCACCAAGAAAGAAACGGAGGATAAGAGAAAGGCATAATTATGGAATGTGTTCCAAACTTTTAATAGTGGTAACCTACTCGGTTTTACTGTTGAACATTATATTTTCTAATTTTAATTTAGAGAATTGATCGCAATTGTAACATAATAGGGTTTGATAGAAATTGCTACATTGAAACACCCTGACAAAACTACACTCCAGACACGAGATTCCACAAATGCTGATTTTAGTGATAGAGCAGCACATCCAGGATCTTGAAGGCCAATCACTATCTCATTAAGAATATTGAATAAGTTGATAAAACAGAAACTGAATACAATTTACCTTTCTCAAAAGAAAAAAAAAAGAAACTGAATACAATTTCCGTTGTCGAATTACCTGTAGATTTTCTTTTTTGGTTTTTTGGTAAGTCAAACATTCCATTACTATACACCAAGTTGGTGTCAGAAGTATATATGACTCAAACCAATTGATCCACTGGAATCTCTCTAATTTTCCAGCTATCTATACAATTTAATATCTAGAAAAATTTGCAGTGTCATATTCCATGTAGATTTTTAATTTTTGGACCAAGTCAAACATTTCATTACTATATACCAAGTTGGTGTCAGAGTATATACAAATTTGTTTGTATGACTCAAACCGAGTCATCCACTGGCATCTCACAAATTTGACAGCTACCTATACTACAAGTATCCTTGCTTTGCACCGAAAACATTGTCGCGTAGAATTGACTGTTTGTACATTTTCGTATTGCTGAATAATAGCTAAAGCATGCAGATAATGCATACCTGCCATATATTCTCACTTATTACAATCCAATATCATTAATATAAATGCTCTTTCATTCTATTTGTTAGCAAAATCTAACAAAAATTATAAAGTTCGAGAAGCAGGATATGCAAAAAAAGAGTTTCACGAATTGAGTGGAATTGAAACAATTCCAAAACCCCAATTATCAACAACAAGAACCATAAAGGTTTTGAGCAGAACCTTTCAGAATCATCTCAAATAAGACATCTTTAGAATTTGATGTGATGTTCAGTACACACAAGATCAAGCAGGATATAAGACACTGAGACCATGAGACAAATTGCAAGAAAGAAGTTAGTTCAGAAATACCTGGATACAGATGATCGCAGCTAATCTAGTCTTAGCATAGGCTGTATTGCAAGTAACCCTCCCTGATCCATCACTATCACTGTTTTCTGAATCAGATGATAGTGTTAGAGATTTCTCATCCTCCAACTGCAAACTTTTCAGATTTTTATTTCGTAAGTGTGGAGGCCTATATCGGCCCGCTTGTGATTTTGTTGATTCTGCCAAATCTGGCTTCATGCTAACAGAAGTAATCTGCTTCTTATCAGCAATGGCAAACATATCATGTGATTTATTAGTAAGGCCATAATGAATAAAATTCCTCAATGCCACAACAAGACCAGCCACCTATGAAACATAAGTACATGGATTACAACTTCGAAGTCGCAGTCTATCAAAAAAGATCTACTTTATCTATCAAAGAGAGGGCAAAAAGCAAATAAAGCAAGAATCTCATCGACATAATGCAGTCCTTACATGGCCAGACAACGATCCCTTGGCATCTGCAAGAACCAAGTGCAGGCAATGTAGAAACGAGGTATAAAACCTGGAGAAAAGATCTGCCACCATGTTATTAATAAGAAAATTAAGACACCATATAAACACAAGCAAATACTAAGCAAGAATGAACAACCCAGCCCTCTACCCTAGTCCCTGCGAAAGAAAACAAAAAATAAAAAGCAAAGGAATGAGAGGATACCTGGCAATGGCTCTATCTTCCTTAATAAGGCCCTTAGATGCCACCATTTCCAAAATATTTCTAAGGATCTAATTCACAACACAAACTCCCAAATAAAAACCTATAAGCGAATTTTAGGAGGCACATAAAGCAGTCTAAAGTAGCATACCCACCTCAATTGTTGATTGCCAAGTATCAACTGGTAAAGAAGATCCAAATCTCGAATATAGTTCACCAATAATAGTAAAAGCTACTATTTCAACTTCCCATGAACTGTTGTAACCAGATATTTTTTTCTTTCCTCTTGAATTTGACAAATTACTTGCCTCAGGTTGAAGATTGGAAACAATTCTGAGGAGAAAATTTAGCAGCTGCAAGTGTTCAGTTAACAAACCTGTTCTTTCACTTGCAGCCAAAAGACATCTGAAAATAGAATATGGCAGATACAAGAATCAGAAACATCAACAATCAAAATCTCAAACATGGAGGATTTTGAAATAACAGAATTTGTTTTAATGAATAAGTGAATGTTTATGCAACCCTAATAAAAACTAGGAAGTAACAATGGCAAGAAAAAAATTGTAAGTACTACTAAGCAAGTGCTTCCTCTATCCCAAATTTGATACATGACGAGACTGATTTTCTTTTGTTTGAAAAGTACAGATTAAGGGAAAGGAAAAGATGGAGAGAAGAGGATGAACACAAAAAAGAAAGGACAGAGAACAGACCTTGAAGTCTCAGAACAATGTTTTATTGCTCTAACCACAGAAACATCAGCAGTATTAGCTTTCTCAAGAGTTTCAATTATGCTCCTTAAGGAGTCAAATAAAAGAGGCCAAGAACTAGAACTCATTTTTCAAAAACCGATTATTGGGATAATATATCTGCAAAACAGCAAAGGATAGTAGTCAATACAACGTAATGTTTATCAATCTTCGAACAAAGGAACATTTCTTTTATGAAAAATTGAGAACAAAATAAAGAGAGAACTCTCTTAAGTTTTTTTTTTTTTTTTT